CCCGTTAAACAGTCTGCATAACAGAATACACAATCCATTCAGCGAGCTGTCACTTCCCTTTGCCTCTTACAATCAAGATGCCTTCTTCTTTATATCTCTGCTCCCTCATGTTTGTCTTATTTACTCTTGTGTTTTGTATCCCAGGCTGTTATTTGCAATGATCTTTGGAACATATAAAGCCAACCCTGCCCTAATGCTTTCATAACAAGCTTTCTGCCCGTTATATAATAGCATGCAGCACAGCAGTACATTCTTGGGTTATCATTGTGGTGTTTTGCCGATGATATCATGTCTTGACATGACAGCTGAAGGTAGAGGCAATTGGGTTTGCTTCTTTTTGGAGGATAAATTGCAGATTTTCTGCTGTAGTTGAAGACCCCAATCACTCTGTAAGACTCCTCTCCTCTCATATAACACTTAGTTTATTGATTCGTTTGGTTTGTTTATAGCAGTTGCACGTACAGATCAGGGTACAGAAATGAAGCAAAATTATAATGTTTATGCAGTACCTAAACAGGAGAAAATATCTTATCAAATTAGCATTTATCCTTTAGGACAGAAATGATTTATTTTTTTTCAAGCTAATAACATGATAACCAGATATTTACAAACATTGTCAATTTATGTTGCCAAAGTTATTTCTATTTCCAGGGCTGCACATTGGTCGGTAGAACCGTTGCCTGTTAGAAGGTCCTGGGTTTGACCCAATGCTTGTGCCAGATCTCTCCAGCTTCCTCCTAAAGCTAAAAAACATGACTGATGGGTTAATTGGTTACTTTAAACTGCTTCAAAGTGTGAGTGTATGTGTGCATGGTGTCTTGTCCTGTGATGAGGTGCTGTTCTGTCCTCTTTCCCAGTGACTGCTGGAGATAACATCCCAGCCCCATATCAGCCTTCAAAGACAAGCTAGCATGTGCAATGAATGAGCCAGAATATTTTTTGTGATTTTTTTTTTTTATTCGTAAGTGCATACATTTGTAAGCAATACATATAAGCTGTGTAGCTTTAGACAAAGGTGTGTGGGAAATGTATCCTATTCCAGCTAGAATCAGTGAACTCAGCTTAATAAGACCACAGGACATGTTCTGTCATTTACCAAGTGCTTCTTAATGTAGTAGTCTATGCTGACTTGAAACATTTTTTTATTAAATGTCAGACAGAAACAATTTGTGTCTTTTTTAACACTTATAGTACAATATTTTTGTTAAACAGATCAAATCTGCCTCATAGTCAGTGAAAGAACTGAGATCAGTCATGCAGAAGTGTAAAGAGTATCAGTTTATCAGTTTTCACTAAATAAGCCACAACAATTATTTAGTGATTGTTTTCATATTGGAAAAAAAAAGATTCAGGATAGAAAATTGATTTTAAATTACTACAGCTTAACCTAAAATGTTGTTTTTTTAATCTTTATATTATCTGGCCTAAAGCTTTCTTCTGTCTACTTATTTTTATTGTCCAAACTAAACTTCCCTGCTTTTGGACAATATTTTCTATTCTATTCTAAATAGCTTTCTTTCTGCTTCTGAGATCCTGATAGATATTTTCCCTGACTGGATTTGCAGGTTTTGCAGAATATGTAGTCTTATTATACAGAGATTCAATTTAAGATTATCTGTTTGACTTCTTTTTCCTTCAAAATAATCCTATCATCCAGAAAAATCTTGTCTTTTAGACATCAGTTTAGTTTCTACAGTATCTAAAACATAGTTTTTCTTTTACACGTTCTTCTTAGCACATTGAGTCTTCAGTTTTCCATTGAAATGTTGTGCTTAGATAAATGTGACTTTAATGGATTGATCATATAGGTGATTTATTGAAAGGAGGTATGAATTATTTAAAATTCAGTAGGCATATATAAACAATAATTTGATTGTTTTATTCAATATATACATATAGATATGTGTCAGAAATCCAGCCTGCCCTACAGAAATAAAAAGGCATATTGTGTAAAGAGCAGCCCCTGATGCGCAGACCTCCTCCTGCGTTTATGCAAGCTGTGCGGTTGTATGCTCATGTCACCAATGTAGGCTAATTCAGCGCCTTGCATGTTTCTACTCCTGCACAATGAAGCTTGAAGGAGGGCATCAATCTTTTATGCTATATCTGGGAAAGTGGCCTCCCCTGTTCTCTTCCCCAGCAAAGGGCTTTACTCCTCCTAGTGGCGAGTATACAACACAGGATAGAAATCTGTTACCTTTGAAGAACTGCACTTTGTGCTCATCTATCATCATGATTTTTATGCGCCATCAACACGGTGGAGATAAGAAATTGTCCATTAATGGCTACACAATTAGAGAGAAGGCTTTAAAGAGAGGTAGGTTTCAATTTAGGAACTATAAACCTAGTGAGTTGGGAACTAATTGTAACTGCCTCTTGAGAAATGGAGAGCCCTTATACATGAGGTCAGAGAGACTCAAAATCTGTTTCAAGCAGCTTTTACACGACTGCTTCAGTCATCCACTTCTGACAGGCTGATGCATATTACATTTCATTTACTCGCAGAGAAGCTTTTCTAGTTTTAATTAAAGGACAGGGCTCATTCCCAACAGTTTGGAGTCTTTAGCACAAAAGGTGGAGGCAGAGCTGTCCCAGAGAGACCTTATATCTTTGAACAAACTGACTGTCTCGCTCCATTTGTCATTATTCGTCTCGCCTTCTTTCTCCCTGTGTTCCAGCGTCTGAATACCTTTGGGATTGAGGAAAAGGAGACGAGGCAGTTCCCATCTGCTCTCTAGGGAGCTTGATTTAGTGTGTGATCTTTTATCTTACACGATAGAGACAAATCTAATCTGTTACAATCAAATATCTTCCTTTGGTAAAGAGGAGGCAAAGTGAAGTGTGGGGGGAGGAGATGAAAGCAGCTATGTTTGACGAGGGAGCTGAGGTTTTTTTTTTTTCTTCTTTATTTGCTGGCCCACATAATTATTTTTGCTTAGAGTATACATATGCTCAAGTGTTTGTTTTCCTTTGCCTGCATACCCTCGTGGGATCTTTCCGGCTGTTGCCTTCATATCTGACAGCCTCCTCTCAAGGTGTTTCCCCTCGCTGTCTTTATGTATCTGCTCTTTCTCTGTTCCCTGAGTGAGAAATATTCCCCTCAAGGCCCCATCTGAGCTCCAGGCCCCCTAAGGCCTGTGCATTCCCCAAGCCCCCTAAACACAGGAGGCCCTCAGGCTCCTTTGCTGGACCACAGGGAATACCTCCCCACTCCACCCCCCTAAGAACCCCAAGGCCTCTCAGACTGCAGAGCAGCAGCTCTGCAGAAGCAAGCAAGCAGTATTGCCTAAGGGGAGGGTAAAAGCTGTCTGGGAATACAACTAAGAACATGCTTCACTTAGCAGTGGAACAGTCTCTGACAGCACCCCCTGGTGGTGTAGCTTTTTTTTGCACACAGGCCTCCATGTAGTTTCCTCTCTGGGGCTCATGGAGGCCCGTTTGAGCTACATGGGCACTGACCTTTCCAGCTCCCAGAGGTTGAAAAACATCTTTCAACCCAAATAATCCCAACAGGATCTGGATGCTGATGCCTGATGCACATGGGGCTTAAATTGATCTATTAATAAAAAAAATGGTATGCCCTTGATATGATGGGTTAAAATAATATAAAAAAGAGGTTTGAATTTGAATTTATCAAATAGATCAATTCAATTTCAAATAGATTAATGCCTGTTTCCTTGGTTATATTTGTAAAATGCAAGTCCCGGATGCACAGGCATTGAAAAGAAAAGCTTAGAGAGGCTTTGGTTGAGAAGTCTGTAAAGCTAGCAGGCCTGCTGTCCTACAGATGTCTTAGATTGTGTGTTACCAGGTGTACGTCACCTGAGATTACCCACGCTGACACCCCTTAAAGGCAAACAGCCAGCAGTACAGCTGAGGGGGCAGCTGGTGGCGTGTTTGCATGCAAGTTTGGGTGTGTTCATGCATTCAGATTGGAGCTAGCATGAGGATGAGATTCAGTCGTCAGCCATATTTTCTGTGTTGGTGGTTAGTGTCTGGCAGTGTTGCTCAGAAATCCCTCCATTCATAAGGAATGCAGTGAATCAAGTAGGTCAGCACAGGGTTCAAGGTCAGCATCTCTCCAGAAGCGCTTGATACAGATAACGGTAATGACTGAGGATTTTTAAAGCATCCGGCTCTCATCTATAGTCTCCGGTCAAGAGTGAACTGGAGTGAGAAAAAATGTTTTGCTTGGCCATCCCTGTGATCTTTCCCATGATTCACAACGCCCCTGTGGTGCCAGAACAAAGAAAAGCCTTTCCTAATCAAAGTGCACGGGATTAAGAAACGGGTGGTGGAGGGGGGGACATAGAGCCTAACAGCTATTATGTGGATTTGAAAACAGCCTAAAAGACGACTAAAATGAACAGACTGTGACCCTGAAGCAGGAAGAACAGAAGCTGCTAATAGTTTACTTCTGATCACAAAAAAAGAACTGAAAGTGGAGATTGAGAATTTGAGACCATTGCAAAAACATAGAGAGAAATACAGTGTAATGAAGCAAATTCTGTATTTAGATAGTTAGACATCTGTGGGAGGAGAAATAACATGAACATTTATTTTTAGTTAGATGATTCAACTTTTCTCTGGAAGATACAATTGCCCTGTTAATTAAGAAAAGCTATACCTGTTCCACAGGCAGCCGAATACTCCCAATGGCATTAAAACCCCCATATTTCAGAAGAGTAAGTAAGTAATGCATGTAAGTAATAATTGTCTGTATATATATAAACATCTGATTTGTTGTTTTTTTTTTTATTTTACAATATACCTTTTCTTATTTTTCTTTGTATTATCTTTAGCAAATGGCATTATGCAGAAGTCTTGTTTCTTGATTTTGATGTCCTTTGTATCCTTGATATACGTTCTATCATTCAGGAACATCATTTTTATCTACGCAAAAAATTCTATGAAAAATGTAGGATGTGAAGAAGCTGCTTTAGGTTATCTTAAGTCTTTTGGTGCCTGCAGACAGACATTTTATACAGGCTGAACAATAATAGGAAAATATGTACCTGGATTCTGCTTCTCAAACATTTTGATTCATATTGATTGTGATTTTTCATGCTAATTTCTAAATCAAGTGTGGCCATCTGCTCTCTGCACCCCAATAAATGACTGGGATGCGGAGAGAAGATGCACTGCACTTGGGGGTGCATCCAAGCAGTCTCCTGTACATTAAAATTTCAACCAAACAAGCTGATATCTTGGTGACCTATGCAATTTCATACATTTTGCAGCTTTTATTTTGGGCATAATCTATTCCTGGTTTTATTGTGATTCTCTATTTAGAATCACATTTGGAACCTATAGACTGACATAAACAGTTTTGTTTGTCTTGCATGTTAGTTTACCAGACCTGATTGCAATTTTTGTTGGGTAAGAAATGGAAGTTCAAGATTTTAGTCTCCTTTGTTGATTCTATTTTGTTTTTCAGCAGCTTTTTATTATTTAATCAAAGGTACGCCTCTCGATTGCAGATGTACGCAATGAGGGATAGAAGATATTAAACCACCGCTCTAAAGGCGCCCAGCTTGCATGTGGGTGTTTACATTGTTTTTCTCGTTACATGACAAATGTTGCTCAGACAGCTGGACAGCCGTTCCTTCTGCCCACAATCAGTCATGTTTTATTAACATACCTCCAGTGGGTGAATCATCTTATCTCTTGCACACAAGGTAACAACCATCCATCCATTTCATATATGTTTGGTTATGAGCACAATCTAAATGGACCCTCCTGTTACTCCTACTGATATCTCCAAAATGTATTAATTGTTATTACAGATAAGATCATAAGCAGAGCAGAAGTGTAGAATATGAAGTCTTTGAGAGAGTAAGGGGCAAATCCCATGGGCTGGACTGAGTGGGCTGACACTGCCACCATGTGGCTCAGATATGTAAAAAATAAATTAATTATGGATAAATACGATGAGCATGTGCACATAAGTACATATTAGTAGTATATCATGGTAATGTTGTTTATTTCAAGCTAAAGATGGTTTCACTAAACCATACTGATCAGAATGAAAAGAAATAAAGACCTTGTGTTTCATCAATGTGCACAAGTTTACCTAACTGACCCGGATTACTAAAAAACCTGACTTTTCAATCATACTCTTATTAATAAAATAGATCTGTACTGAGTGGGCTGCTCATCTTGTATAGAAGGGGGCAGTCAGCATGAAAACACGGAGGTATGCTCTCTAATGAGATTTACTTGGCTGCAGATGGTCCTGGTTACAGAGATGTGTGTCGGAGATTTAAGAGGGTCAGACCTGCACCATGTCAGAGTCACAGAGGGCCACCGTTTCACGTGCTTTTACCACCATCTCACACCGCCACCTCTCATAGGGTGGCCCCTCTTAACCTCACAGTACTCGCTCCTCTGTCATTCACACACACTCACACAGAGCACTTATGTGAATTCAGTTTTATGAAACATAGATAAGGTCTAAAGCAGATCTACAGAATAAAAAAAAAACACCACATACAATATATACAAAGCACTTTGGTGAGAAAAATCTACAATAAGGCATATAAACATGTTGACAAAAACTGGGGAAGAGAGTCCATAACATTGTCAAAGTCTGACAAAAACAGTGCAAGCATATGAAAACAGAATAGTGTATAATTTTTTCCTCATCGGCCATTTACAGCAAAAATACAAGACTCGGCTCAGATAATCTCTCCTATTGATATAATATGACCATCAAGGAATATCCTTGATGCATCTTCTATCTGAGTGCTGCTGGCGTCAGCTGTGCTCATCGCTTCACCAAGTCTGCCAGGTCACCGTAAACTGCTGACCAGGCTTCAGGCATGTTTCTTCGCGAGCTGGAACAACATACTGTCAGCTTCTTTATATTACACCCCAGTCTGTCACTGCTCAGATGGCGGGTTGTGGCTTGGTCAGGTTCCTCTGGTGCATGCTGTGGTGGCGCACCAGTTCATCAGAGCGGGCAAACTTCTTCTGACAGTTGGGCCAGCGGCAAGTAAAGGGCTTCTCACCTGACAAAAAGGGGACAAAACGAAGGAGAAATAGAGAAGATATGGCTTTAGAATAAAACACCAATTAAGTTCACAACTTAGATTTATTAATGAAGTGAACTGAGAAAATTTGAGAGGAAGAAAATAAAAGGTATACGCACTTGTTTTACCTGTATGAGTCCTAGTGTGCGTCTTAAGGTGGTCTGACCGTGCGAACTTTCTCTGACAGGTCTCACACTCAAACGGTTTCACTCCTGCAGACGTGACGGTCGAGGCGGAAAATGTCAAGAGGGAGGATAGGGAGTCAAAGTATGAACAACTATAAGGAGAAATTACTGTAATAAAGCTGGTTATGATGCAATCAGCAAAATTAGGGGTTACTATTTAAAAAAGTTATTAGGACAATATCATTGCATTTTGTGGCTTTGAAGATATTTCTTTTTTTTCTTATTTTGGGGGGGGCAAAAGATATCTATGTTAATTTTAATAAAATAAAACTTTACAATGTATTCACTTTTTGTAAGTATTGTATGTGTTGTTATAGTAATACCAGAAATTTACAATGGGAATCTTGAAGAAATTTTAGTAAACAGTTTTTCATTGACTAGTACCAACAGAGTTTCTTTATCCAACAGTGGTGATAACTTAGAGTAAGTAAAAAATATGCTTTAAAGAGTGTAGGATTTATTGACACCAAAAGCCCAAGCCTCACATTGCTGTAGATTTGATAGTTTTGTCTCTAAAGAGACCAAAAGGTGGGTATAAAACCTGACGGTCCAGTGTCTTTTGTCAATAAGTAAACCTTTGCGTATCCAAATGTTTTAAAGCAGGGGTCTTCAACGTTTTCCAGGCCAAGGACCCCCAAACTGATAACGAGATGGAGCGGGGACTCCCCAGTTATATATATTGTATTAAATTGTGTTATATTATATCAAACTGTTCCTATAGTCACTCTATTTCAGATGGAGTCATGTAACGAAAGTAATTTCCGCCATTGGATTATTCCTTGTTGATGGGACAGGTGTTCCCTGATTGAAAGAGCTCCTGTGGGCATTCATGACTGAAAAAAATTCTTCCTCCATTTATTTGTTTACTACAGTGTGTTGAATTCATGTTAATGTGTATTTAAAGTTATTTCAATCAGTGGGAAAAATTGCAAGGGGGAAATATAAAAAAAAGTGTAATCAATGAAAACTTTCGCGACCCCCATGCAGTACCTGCGCAGACCCCCTGTTGAAGACCTCCGTTTTAAAGCCTAAAGGGTTATCTGAATGCAGTATGGAGACATTAAATGAATATACCTGTGTGTCTGCGTTGGTGTCTCTTTAACTGGTCTGAGCGAGAGAATCTGCGGCCACATTCTGTGAAATCACACCGGTATGGCCTCTCCCCTGCAAAATAATCCCAAATACAGTTGCTGTTAGCACAGCTTCATCACTATCGCTTTAAGAAATTAATTAAAAACCCGTATTTCAAAATGTTTGTAACTCTTACCTGTATGTTTTCGGCCATGCATCTGCAAATGAGAAAGCTTGAAGTATCTCTTGTTGCAGCCTGGATGAGCACACACAAAAGGCCGCTTCTCACATGCCTCTGTGGACTTTGCTGCTAAAGGACCAATACTGGGCAACCGCCTGACATCCTTAGAAAAAAAAGGAAAATACAGTGAAAAGCCTTGTTAATTGATGTAATCATGTATTGAATGTGTAAATATTTCGGATAGCCGACTGACCTGAAGTCCTTTGAAGACACCATGTGTATGAATGTGGTATTGGGCACTGACGAGCATGGGTGGCGCTGGGGGCGCAGGTTCGCTCTCACAGCTGAGTGCATGGCTGTTGCTAAATGCAGATAAAATGTTCATCAGTGAGCAGGGTCTGAGATTTTAGAGTAAATCAAAGCCGTGAAATATATATATACATATATATATATATAAACCCAGAAAATCTGCCTCTGAAGCAAGGTTTATAATAATAATAATAATAATAATAATAATAATAATAATAATAATTATTATTATTATTATTATTATTATTATTATTATTATTATTGTTGTTGTTGTACCATAGAGTACAAAATAACAAAAGACAGTCTTAAAAAATTCTAGATCGTTTTCTGTTTTCTAACTTCTGTTGTCACATGAGAAAGAACCTTGTTAGTTGCATATCATCAGAGCAAAGAAATGATGATGATGATATCATCTGCATACATAGAAATAGATAATATAGTTATGTTGAAGGATTACTGATAATAAAGGAAAAGATTCATTATTAATCTCTAATCACCATGCTGAAAGTAAAACGCTAATAAATATTGTGAAACTCTATTTATATTCCCCCAAAGCTGTTAAAAGAACAGGCTCACCTCTTCATTGATGCCAGGGTGTTCATTTGGTTCCATGTCATGCATTCCAGCTGAGATGCCATTTGGTACAAATTATCACTATGAACAACATTAAAAGAAAGTTCTATCAAAAGATAAAGCAAAGATGATTAAATGCAGATGTATTTTTTTAAAGGATTTTTTGATGATTTGCTTATTAGCACATCCTCTCAGGTCATCAAACATCTCAGTTTTCTCATAAAGCACAGGCATTGCTTCTATCTTTACCTTGGCAGAACCCACTGCTACACGCACACATAGGCATGCACACTATTAAAGATGCGATTGCACTCTCTGTGGGAGTTAATGCCTCCGTGCCTAGTACACCCTGGATCAGAGCATGACATCACTCCGTCCTCAGCATCATTAGTGGCGAAAAACAGTTTTGGGGGATTTCTGGACGGCATTCCTTGAGAAGTCCTTGAGGGAAGGATCGCGATGGCTCGCTAATCACCACTGAGCTATGTTAAACTATGGAAAGGCTCATTGATATCTGACATGCACTGGCTTAGTGTAGAAGTATGTGCATGCATGTGCACGTTTGCGTCCTCTTGCTTGAGGGTTTCCAGTTCCTGCCATGAGCTCTAGCAGCCGCACACTCTTCCTTCTGCTTATCTGCTTCTGTCCCAATATTTGGGTTTCACATGTTCCTTTTCTCCAACAACATCTCCAGTTGGAATCTAAAGAATGTCCTCCTAATTTACTGCTAGAGATGCTTTACATCAAAATGAACACAAGCTGAAGACACATGTAGTGTCTGAAATGAACAGACTTCCTACTGCCACCCTCCCCTTGTGCAACTCTCACTCTCACTGAACTTGTCTCTTGTACTTTCTTCCCTCAGGGTGAATTCAGACACATCAGCAGTAGATCACCCTGTGTTTGTTTTGGCCTACTGAGCACCAGTTGGTAGCACTTAACCTCAGAACAAATGAGGATTCATGATACTGACGAAGCAGAAGCCCTTTGCAGAGCTCCTTATGGGATCAGAAAGAGTTCACACTTCCAAAAAATACCAAGAATCAGCAAGCTGTGTCAAAGGAAAGAATGTGACGTTAAAAGATGAGCAAGGAGGCTAAAAACTTTGTTGTGAGTGGAAATTGCATTCAGAGAGTGATTGAAGGCAGAGAGTGAGATTGAGAACAGAGGGAATGATTGTACCTGTTGTAGTTTCTCAGCAGTAGGGCTTGGTTGCTTGGGCAAGATTCTGACGGACTGTGACAACCAAACATGGGATTTGGTGCAGGATACTGCTGCTCAACTGAACATACAAAATGTAAAAAGATCATTTAAAATGAGCCAGCAATGCATGTCCTTCATATAAAACAATCAGAGTTCCCTGCCCACCATTTTTACCCATTTACCTTACTTTTCTGAGCTCTGAGGACTATCTAACCATTAAAGGCATAGATTTTGTTGTGGGATCTATTGGAAAAGGCCATATATGTCTTCCCATGCACCCAATATAAATGTATCATATAAACACAATAGTTTGTGGACAGTATAGGTATTTTACTCCATAAAGTGTTCTTTCATGTCGGGTCTGAGTTGAAATCTTCTAATATATCACATCTTTAGGTCTGACTGTAAAAAATGTCTGTTATCAAAATATTCTTCATTTAAATTAAATTTGAAATTAACTGACCGATTGGTGAAGCTGCTGCTATAATGGACACACTGGACTGGTCTGTCTTGTTAAAGAGAGAGCTGAGCGAAAAGGCAAGTCTCTAGATTCACTGGTCTGTCTACGTTCCTACCCTCACCTATGGTCATGAAATCTGAATCATGATGGAAAGAACGAGATCTGAGATACAAGCGGCTGAAGTTAGATTTCTCTGCAGGGTTGGTGGGCGCTCCCTTAGAGATAGGGTGAGGAGCTTGGTCCTTTGGGAGATGCTCAGAGTGGAGACGCTTCTCCTCCACTAAGCTGAGGTGGCTCGGACATGTTTTTCTGATGCCTCCCACAGGTAGGAGGCCCAGGACACAATGGAGGGACTATGTCTCTCGGCTGGCCTAGGAGCGTCTCAAGCTTCCCCCAGCAGAGCTGGAGAGGGAGGTCTCTGCTGAGACTGCTGCCCCGCAACCCGGTCCCAAATAAAGTGGGAGACGTCAAGTATGATTACAAATAAAATACTTTTTGGTTATAACTATGATAATGTCTGGTTTATCAATAACACTCAAAGAAGCATTTTGTTTTACAAAAAAAAAAAAGAAAACTAAACTAACTTTAGCTTGGTTTTCTTGGCAAAGAACAGGTGTTGTATTGCATAACAAATTTTAGCATTAAAACATCTGGTTGTCAGAGTAGTCATTCTGCTGCTTTTTATATTTGGAAATCAGGATGACAAATGAACAGATAATAAAATCTGTATAGCTACAGACAAGTTGTCACACATAGTAACGACAAGGAAACGGTGACAACTGATTATGTGTCAGCTTCCTAATGTAGCATCTCATTTCTCTAATTTAAACAAAGCCTGAATAAATTCCAGGTGGTAGGAGAGGTGAAGAGTTTGGGGTTTGGATGAAAGGCGGTCTACCATAGTCTGCAGTTTCTTTCTCTTTGTAGTTTTAAAAGTTAAGTCACAGTTTTAATCATTTTCCAATAGGAACAAAAAGAAAGCATGACAAGAGCGTCATTTATGTTAGAAAATGTGTTTATTGGGGTACTTCTGGTCAGAGAAGTAAGTGAGTTAGTACTTTAAGTTGATGAATATGCAATGACTTATTTGTGGATCATAAAACACTTTAAGATCCAACCAAAACCAGATGTTATTATACTGGCATGGACTTTTGAAATATTTTTGCAAAACAATAACGGTTAATTTAAGTTGCTTGCTATTTTTCACTGAGTTGAATGAGAAACTGTGATGCTTTTTAGGTTCATACAGTATACTGTTCCCATGACAGTTACTAGCATTCCAACAGAGTCTCAGAAGGTTATTCCCTTTAAGTTATGACTTTTCAAAGTCATTAAGGCAAACCGTGTTTACGTGTGCCTGAAACTGAGACACTTGAATGAAAGTAGATATTAGCGATAGTGTTTGTGGTATGAGAAATGATGGGTTACTTCTTATATAACCTTGATGAGACGTCATAGTTTTTCCGGTCTGGTGAAGATATGTTGAAGCACAGACACTTACCTATGCTGTTCGTCGGTGACAGCGTGTCTTCGTGCTTGAAGGACAGGCTGGAGAGCTGAGGAGTATAGTGGGAGGGTGTGTGACCGTAACTGGGGTTGCTGTCTAAACCGACAGTGCCATAACCTGAGGAGAGAAACATGAAGAGACGGGGATGAGGAAAAAAAAATTTCTGCTGGACCCATTAAAAATGACCACCAAACAAACGGTAGTGACGTTTTGAAGCTTGTGAAGAAACCAGCGTCAGTTATCTATTTCCTGTTGGTAGTATGTCTTAGTTCCTGGCAAGATTACTGCAGAGAGGCATCCATCAAAAAAAACTAAATCCTCTTTCCTCAGAAGCATATTCCCTTTTTCCCTCATCTATCTCTGGCTTGTGGTTGCAAAATTTATGGCAGGTGGAAAAAGAAATTTTGCCAAAACACAAGAGACAGTCTGAGAATGAGCTACTGTTGGATAAGGTCTGTAGACGAGAAATCAACAATATCAATCAGCTCATGAACTTTTGGTCATAATCTCAAACAGCAGCAGTTGTGATGTTAATTCAAAGCATTCTTGTAGCATCACATGACAACTTCAACTGGATGCATATTTATCTTAATGTAAAAGTCGATGAAATATCTGTATGACACACACACCTAAAGAAAGGAATATCCTGAGTCAGGCCTAAGCTGGAAGTTAAATAGTTTCTTAGAAAAATGACTCATTATTAAGTTATTTTTAGCATTACAAAAAAAAAAAAAAAAAACGTCTGTTTTCTGTTTTGTTGCTTCATCAGAAACTGCTTTTTCAACTGAGCAAAAACAAAACTGTAGTTCCAGACACATCAGCAGAGTCGGCCTTAAACAATTAAACGGCTGTAAAGTTAATGTTAAAGCAACAAGAATGATATGGGTTCTATGCTGCAGTGCTACAGTATATTTAACACTGTGAAATTTAAAAATGTCACCAAGGCTGAGTGGGAGTTAAACATGTTGTATGTATTTTTTTTGGGTGTGTGTGTGTGTGTGTGTGTGTGTGTGTGTGTGGGGGGGGGTAAATATATTCAATTTCATGGAAACTTGTTTTGACAATATTTGTCAGAAGAGGTGCAAGATCTGTATTCTTTGACTTTGACTCTGGTCAAGGCATTTTTTTCTGAGCTCTCTGCCAGAGTTTAATTTTACATTTCACTTTAAAACGCAAAACTTATAAATATTAATACATATCAATATTTGGGGTAGGAAAGTACTTTACATTTCTTTAAATTTTTTTTGGTTTTGCTATTTTTTTTTATCTAAATAAAAACAGTGAAATGGTTTTACACCATTATCAAAAGTTTAAGCTATTCTAAAACCTTTGAGCAACCTTTTATGTGTTCAAACCAGAGGTGTCAAGTAACGAAGTACAAATACTTCGTTACTGTACTTAAGTACACTTTTTAGGTATTGCTTATTTTTCCTCCTACTTCTGACTTCTACTCATTACATTTTCAAACAAGTATCTGTACTTTCTATTCCTTACATTTTTAAAACAAATGTTACTCGTTACTCTTGGCTTTGGTTTTATGCAGAGGTCACGGATTAGCGAACCGCGGTCCGGTGTTATGTATGCCAAAAAGTGCTTGCCTGCCGAGATATGCATCCCCAGTCGCGGGAGCGCGTCTCGCTCTGTACAACTGCATATCAACGAGGAAAACGCATTAAAATATAACCAATGGAGCTACTTGTTGTTATATTAATGAAATAAAAACATTTAGATATACCTCTCGTGGGAAACAAATTGTGGTTATTTGGCAGATTCATTTACAAAAGTACGGGTGTTATGAACAACATTAAATCCAAAGATTTTGTCCGAGGTACGGCTGATTTATATGTTGTAGTCCTGTTATTCACACACAACAATAAACAGTGATAGCCGACGTGAGTTTTGAAACTGCAAAGCTTTGTCTTAAGCGGCACATCAAACACGCATCCACACAGCACAGGGTTCACAGACCAGCGTTATGCCAACAAGACCTCCCTCATTCTTGGCCCTATCTCAAAGAATTTTTCGAAATAGTTGAAAAATTAGCTTTCAATTCAAATAGTGGCATCTGGCTGTTTATTTAAAGGTTACTTTATACTTTTATACTTTAAGTATTATATAGTATAATTTAAGTAGTTTTTGGAGCACATACTTTTTCACTTTTACTTGAGTTAAGAGGTCAAGTTGATACTTCAACTTTTACCAGAGTGTTTTTAAACTGCAATATCTATACTTCTACTTAAGTAAGAAATGTGTGTACTTTTGACACCACTGGTTCAAACCCAGCTTGTACATTAGTGAAAAGCATGTCTGTTTAGTTGTTTATTGAGAGGATGTTAACTTTTAGTCAGCACAGAAGGACTTGCTTCATTGTTAATATTGGAGTAATAATTCTCTCTTGAAGATGTTTCTTCCCAAAAGTGATAGCCATGAAAGTGGAAGGAAATCTCTAATCTTGTCTCTGCCTGATTCTGTTAAAGGCACGGGTAAGACAGGTTCCTTACCCTGGTTCCTGGTTGGAGGCGGACTCTCCACACAGCCAGGCAGGTAAGCCCCACCAGAAAACATTCTTTGACTTGAGGCTGTCTCCCCAAAGGCACCCACCCGACAGGGGCCCGAACCTGTGAACTGGCCGGAGAAATGCACGGTAAAGGCCCCGAGACCACAGTGTGGGTCCTCGGTTAGGTCGGCAGACCCCCAGCTGGGCTCCTGCTTTATGAGGGAGTGGTGGGAGTTCATGGAGCTGTAGGGAGAGCCAGGATGAAGGTCCAGCAGCTGGGTCCATTGGCCGCCGCCAACAGGTAGCGTTCCAGCTCCTGGTAAGGATGGCACAGGGGGTGCCGGTGGTAAGAGGGTCAGATCGCAGACCTCTGAACCCACTGACACACCTCCACAGTTCAGTTCAGTCAGCATTTCTAAAGACAGTTTTAGACAGTCAAAAGAAGAATAGATGCTGCTCCAAAAAAACAAGGATACAAAGAAAAGACTCAGGGAGTTCCTGAGATTATCAAAAAATATTAATGAAAAAACAAAAAGTTTGGATCCAACATTTCTTCAGAATTAAATAAAATTCTCATCATATATTTCCAAAGCCATTTTTCTGCCTCTTATGATGGAGTAAAACATGAAAATAAGCGGCTTCTAAAAGCCTGGAGGATATAGCTGAAGCTTTTCCGGTACCTGCAGAAATAAGTGAGAGTCTATAAGGTTCACAGTGTCTGCAGGCTCTGTCTTCATTATGGCTTTCCTTATTCTCCTGAAGACTGAAATACTGCAAAACTTGGAACAGGGGGGAGGAGCAAGACGGCCTTAGAAGAGGATGACTCTCTGCTTTGCTCCAGCAGCTACAGGCTGCATGTCTAAGTAGATTCTGACTAATGTCATGTTTGTTTGACTGTGTGTTGCTCTCCACTCTTGTCAAACTGAAGTGTTGAAGGTTTGAGTGAAGCAGTAAGTTAACAGGATATTTAGTGCCTAAATGTTTAAAGTTGTATCAAATTCATTGAAATGAACTGTAAACCCACAAACACATAGATAAAAATGTGTGTATAAGTTCACCGAGAAAACTATGCTTTGTTGTCTGGCTACTTTGATTTGAGAGCATCATTCCTAACAGAGCATTGTTATGCTGAAATTCTTCTCTCTTTTTAAATATGCTCTAAATTCAACTAAAAGAACAAATAGAAAAAAATATATATATAAAGAAAGGATGAACAACAGGGTTGGAAAAACAGCAGAATACAGTAAAAGCGTAACATGAACTCTAAAAGTTAAAGTGTTTTGTTTGATTTTTTCCCCCTCCTTTTGGACTCGTTTGCTAAAAGCATCTCACATAAAGAGCATGGCCTTGGAGCAGAGCCACATCACACAAAAGGATAATTATTTATTAGTGGAGTAGAGGGGGAGTTCAGTGTGGGTGTGTGTCAGACACAGAGGTTCCAGCTTTAACTCTAACTTTACTTTAAATACGCAAGAATGCAAGAGTTTCAATTGGCCGGTAAAAAGTAGCCAGCTGCTGTGGATCCTTTAACATTGGGGTATTTCTCAAATTAGCACAAGGGTTCCTCCTTTGTCTTTTCCCTGAAAGCTGACAAGCAAAAAAAAAAAAGTGTTATAAACTTTTATTTAACCAGCAAAAAGGCGTGTAACCTTTATTGTATCAAACATATTTGGATAGAAAATATGGAAGATTCTCACTTTGAGAAATATTTTTAAGGGTTGAATTATTTGAAGATACATTATACAAATGAATTAAATGGAATTTTATTTAGATGAGTAAAAAAGTTTGTGTTTTATTACTTTTCACAGCACTTTTTAAAGACTTTGTGATCTAATGATCTGTGGGTGCTAGGTGTTTTTTGTTTTTGTTTACTTTTCTGCCTTATTTTGATTATGTTTATCTCAGTTTAAGCACTGTTACCTTGCAGTACGAAGGTTTTGGTTTTGATTCCCGGCCCAGGCTCTTTGTTGAGCTCTTTGTTGAGTTTGCATGTTCTCCCCGTGCATGCGTGGGTTGTCTCCGGATACTCCAGCTTCCTAAACATGACTGTTAGGTTAATTGACCTCTCTAAATTGTCCTTAGGTGTGAGTGTGTGTCTCTGTGTTGCCCTGCGAGAGAATGGCGACCTGTCCAGGGTGTACCCTTTCCCTCGCCCATAAACTTCGGAGAAAGGCACCGGCCACACCACTACCCTGACAGGACTAAGCAGGAGAAGATGGATGGATGTTTATTTGTGTTTATTTCTTACCGTTGCTTTCAGTTAATAAAAAACAAAAGGCTTCAGCATTTATATGAACAATAAGGTTTGTATTATTTCACAAGATAAATTGATTCAATATGACCCTTGTAGTTATTATTGGGCCTGCACAGTGGATCAGTTGTCAGCACAGTTGTCTTGCCGCTAGGAGGTCCTGCATTTGAATCCCCCTTTCAAAGAGTTCATGTTCTTCTGGTAACTGTGTGGGTTCTCTGTGGGTACCCCAGCTTCCTCTCTCTTTCAGAAAAAATGTGATTATGGTGCTGAATTTGCGTGTGTATATTTTTTCCCCTTTATGAACCCGTTCTATCATGCAGTGGAGAAAGGCACAACATCCCAGACAGAAACCTACAAGGGATGGAGGACAGGCTGAACTGCTTCTGCTATCCCTGATTTTAGAAAGTAATGTACCTCCACTTACTTAACTTTTTAAAAAACACTTTTTATGTTTACAAAAGCTCAATCAGTAGATTTTGCCAATATAATTTTTTTCTTTCCATGTTGAAGTTGTTCAGAGCATCAGTGTTTTCAGCATGGTGTGAACCTGTTCAGTTCCCCTTATCCTTCCAAAATAACACAAGAAAGGTTGGCAGAGGTAACAGTTAGTTATAATATAACGATATTTAGGTACCCTGGGCCATAATTTGAAGATACATTTTTTAGCTTGTGAGCTCAAAATTAAACCATCAAATATGAAAAAGAGAAACATTCTTTTTTTACATGTATTTATTCTGGAAGAAGTGAAAGTAATCAATTAATACTGTGTGAAATGTGTGCCTCCTTCTCCTCAAATCGGCTGTAAAAGTTAGAAAAAAAACCTCAAAAATGTTTACATTCAATGTTTCATAATAATAAAGAAAAAAAGGACTTTCGGACGTGAAAAGCATTATGTTCTGAGGTGACGAAAGCTTCTTTGGAAACTGAGGCAATAAAGTGTAAAAAAACTAAAGGGGAACCTTAATATACAATGCTACACTCACCTGCCGAATATAACCTTAGGATGAATGTGTTTGATATAGACATGACAATAATAAAGCAGGTAGGAAAACTTTTTGATTGCTCAGTTTAAACTACTAATAAGGCTTTAAAAAAGCTTTTAACGAACCTTGAATTAACGTCACTGTGCAAAACAATGCTGAACATGCAACATGATCAGCACTGAGCAAAGCCTCATGGCTGAAGACCAGTGAAGAGGACACCTCTTTAAAAAGGTTCAACATATGGAAGTACAAATCTGATGCTATTATTTAAGTTTGTGGTTTTTATTGTAACATCATAATCTCCCAGGTTTCCTACAGTTAAAGAGTGCTAAGATTGTAGGGTTAGTAAAGCGCATCTGCTTAAAGGTATAGTGGAGGATGTTCCTTTCTGGGTGGATCATCAAAATAAGCGGTCCTCCTAATTGTCAATCATTCTGGTGATGTTTATGTCATCCTTCACGCTAGTCCCCATTTTCATTTACCGGTGGTTAGTCTGACATAGAGGAAAAATTGCAAATCTTCTTTTGGAAAGTAAGCTTGTATGAGCTTTTAAACACAGAGTGCACAAGGAGAAATGGCTAGAGCACACTTTCGTACGCGTTTAATAGGCGTTCCCCCTGGGAGCATGTACAGGGTGGCTCATGTGCTTTTTTTTTAAACTGGAGAGGGCGGGTCTTTTAAAAAATTCATGAAGACCCTCCATTATAACTTTAAGTAAAAAAAAAAAAGAAAAAACAGGAAAAAAAAATCTGTGAAACCTATAGACATTTAATGAGTTTCATATTTAACTGAATTCAGACTGCTAATTGGCCCATTAGATTTCAGACAGAGGAACAGGGTATAGTATTAAAGCGCTTTAGGGGTTAGGGGATGAAAAGTATTAAGACGGTTCTGTCATCACCATCTGGAATATGGCTTAGGTTTCTAGTAAATATCACTGACCCTGGAGTCAACCAAAAAAAGTGCTGAGTGTGGGAAGAGAAGAGAAATTAGATAAGAAGAGAAGTCACAGTTAAAGTGATGAAATCACTTTAAATGCTGAGCTTGCATCATTCAGACACTTTTTAGTCATGTTTGCAAGATTTCATGAAGCTACTGAAAAATCGTGTATTCTTTATTACTTAGTTATAACTTATGCCAAATTGGAAAAGCTTTTGACATTATACAACTTCTGCTTCAATATTCATAGTGATGCTTTAGCATAGGACATCCATTCCAATAGACATGACATAGATGTAATGAATGCTTTTGATAACTTTGCAGCAATTCCTCTGTGTGGTGTTGTGACCATATGGAAGATTAAGTGATCCCCGACATTTTTCTTAGATATAAACAAGTGCAAAGGCAAAACCCATATCCCAGAGGAGACCGAATTCACGTAGCCAATTTGAAAATAGTCACAAAGAAAATTAATTTCTCCCAGAACAATTATTTTTTTTAAAAGCCCTCTGTGGTCCACTCATCACAAATAAACACAAAGTAAATAAATGTTCTGTATGGACGAAAGGTTGTGCCGCAGTTCAAAGTTTCCTGCCAAAAAAACTGGAGTGAGAGACGAAAAGCGAGGAGCTTCAGAGCCAAGGCAAATGCAGGCCATGCCTAAGGTTTCCGCAGAGGAGTCTTTAGTGGGGATTCATCAAAGGTGACAGGGCCGAGGGAGAAAACAACTCTTTCAGCCCCTATGACGAATGGCAGTCCCCAAATACACCCATTCTTTAGATCAATCTCTGGTTAACTCCGGGTTTAAAACAACATCTCGATGGAGGAAAAAGGGAAATATGGTCAACACTGCCTCTGACCCTTAGCAAGAAATAGACATGTCTGAGCTTTCTGCTGCAGAATGACTAAACTGGAATTTGAGAAGGGTATGGCTAAGCTGAGATGAAACATGATAAACTAGACAGAAATAAAACCTGGCTGAGCCACAAGAAGGGAATTACTTTTTCCATTTTAATTACATCTGTATGCAAGCTACTGCATCTGAAGTGGTTGTTTACAGCTCTTTTTGTAATATGTGCCAAATCAAAAAGACACGATTTACATACATTTTCCAAACATTTGCAAAGAGAATAAAAGTGACAACAATTTGTTGTGCAGGAGAGAAACTGCTCCAAATACAAGAGAACAACAGGTGGTATTTAAATGTGCTGACAGCGACATAAATAAAGGCCAAGTCCTTCACTTCTCTCTGTGGGCATAGAAACACGGCGATAACAGAACCAGTAAACATGGTGTTGTAATATTGAATCATTTCCCTCCGTCTGTCTTAAGCTGTAGGAAATGGAATTTACTAGAAAATTAGAGTTGTGAGGAACAAGCTTCACCATAAAAAAACAAACAGAACAAAAAAAAAAAACTATGGGATGGAAGTCTACTTTCAGTTGTGTAACCCTGAGAAACTAATTGTTATACATAGGTACCATAATTTAAATCAGGTAAACAAAAATGGGTAGTTGTAATCTTCAACGTTATTAAATGAGTTAAAGTTCTAACTTTCATGTTTTTGTTGTG